GCTGTGGCGCCGCAGCGGGGCGGGCGGGCGGGCCCTGGGCGGGCGGGTACTGAACAGATGTTGGGTACGGGGCGGGTCCGGCAGGACCGTTGCCCAGGTTCAGGCGATTCAATCCCAGCGAGGCAGGATCCAGGGGGCCTCTGGCGCCGGGAGGACCCTGGAGGGCACCAGGGGGGCCGCCTGCGGGACCCTGCCCGTAACCTGCTCAAGGGGGGGAATGGCGAGGTGTCTGCTGGTGAGCACCTCCGAGCTGCGGTGGGCAGCTCGCACATCTGGAGCAGCATGCAAGCTCCACCTCAACTGATCCATCCCTACCATTTGGTGGCTGCTGCCCTCCTCCAGGGGCTTGGCCATACACGGGCCTGGCTGGCCCGGGTCCTGGGGATGTGCGGGGGTGGGAGAGCCTGGAGCTGGACAGTCCTCATGATCCTGCGCACGGATACAACCTGCGGTCCCTCATACCTGCTGCTGGCTGGTTGCTGCCCGGGTAACCCTGGCCCGGTGCCCAGGAAGGCTGCATCGAGTTCGGGTGACGCGGGGATCACCCGGCTTGGGGTCTATACTCCTGGCAGGCCGAGGCGGGCACGACCATACCTTTCCCGCAAGGTATTTAGGAGGCAGGCCGAACTGTCGACAGGTTCATTTGAGGCGTGCACGCAGCGGCAAGGTCTCCGAGGTCGAGTACTCCCCATGGCGGGAGCAGCATGGAAGGATGGTGGTTGGGGGCAGCAACACCCCGGCACCATCATGCCTGCAGACTCAAGCACCAGAACTTCCTACATATCCATGTCCCCACTGTATGGCATAAGCCTAAGACCACCTTGTCTCAATGGATGCATCCAACGTCAGCTGACATGGCTGAAGTGCCTGTGTGCAATATGCAATACCTTGTTACAGGCAGGTACTCATTGCTCCAAAACATATTTACACCCCAGGACACTATTCCCGTCATTTCAAGAAACTTTCTTCAGGGTGTCTTTACATTTCCTGGGAGTGAACACCCGGTCCACTGTGTAGTTCTACCATCAGAAACTTGCATCCTCAAGATGATGGTGATCTCGCAAGGGAAATTTCATCACGCGCCTGCGCGAGATGCAGCGGATCACAAAATGGGAAGGAATCTGGGCTTTCAAGGAGCCATCTCAGGCGACCCATGTCGATTAAATCGCTACATTACGAAGTGAAGATGGACGTGGGGCGTCGGGATGCCAGCCTGGCCAAGACAGCAAGTGATCCACGCACCTCCGCCGTGTTTGCTTCCGGGAAGGGCCCCTTCCACAATGTATTGCTAGAGTAAACAGGAAGAAGTTATTCAGTGGCATCTCGATCCAATGGATTTCGCCCAGGCTTGCTCGGCTTTCCGGTCTACAGGTGAGAGGAGGGAAGCGCCGGTGGGATGCTCACGTTAAGACCCATTGTAACCCTTCTCTCGACCCTCCCATTCTGGACTTCGCCCCTGCAGTCGAAGCCTTACTTGGGCCCCTGGAGCAGAGCGTGACATCTGCCTCCAGTGCCTGCTGGCAGCTGGCAGAGGTCCCTGTCCAGGTGGGTTAACCCTTTCGGGAAAGGGGGGGCGGGGGGGATGGACTTGCCTAATCCATCACTGCGAAAACAGCTAGCAGATCTCGATCCCCGGTCTCTTGACCTGCCTCTGCCAGGTCAAGGGCTCGCTGTTCGGGACCAAGACTCTGCAGGTGCAGCAGGCCCATTTCCAGGAAGAGAAGGAGAGGGAGGGCCTGGCCGCCGCGCTCGCCGCCTGGCAGCGCGAAGCGCTGGGCCCCGGCCTCTGCGGCGCCCTGGACCTCGCCGTGGCCCAGGAGCGCCTGCTGCATGTGGTCGCAAGGTATGCTGTTGATTAACAATGTAAAGGAGGAGGAGAAGGCGAACGATGAGGAGCACCGGGGTCAGGCCTCCAGCGCCCCTCTGTGTCGTAGATGATGCTTGGTGGACCAGATGCCACATATCGAGGCGCCCACCCCAGCCACCTCCCACACCCTCAATACAGGAGCCTGGATGCCGCAGAAGACGGGTCCCTGGACGCCAGGCTGGCAGCGCTGGGCGCCCTGCTGTCGGCCCACCCCGCCGCGGCGCGCATCCCGCCCGCGCTGCGCTTCCTCCAGCACGCCGCCTGGCGCGTGGCCGCCGCCGAGCCGCGCCTCCCACAGGCCTCGCTGCTGCGTACGCTGGGCTCCCACCCAGGAGCATGCGATGCCTGGGCCGCGCACCTCCTGACGCTGGCGGCGGGCGAGGGCGCCGGCCCCGGGGTCAATTCAGGGCCCCTGCTCAGCGTGCTGAGGTCGCTGCCGGACGCCTGCGCCCTGCCGGCGAGCCTGCTGGAAAGCGTGGTGCAGGGCACGGACTGGGCCGCGCTGGACGACACGACCCTGGCCCGCCTCGCCGGCCTGCTGGCGGAGCGGGCCCCCTGTGCCGGGGATGAAGGCGCGGCCCAGGCGGCGGGCATCGCGGCCGTGCTGGGCGCGCTGAGCCGGGCCGGGCGGGTGGCGCGGAGCCAGGCCGCGCGGGGAGCGGTCTGGGGGGCGGTGGCCACCGTGATCCTGGCATACGCGAGAGGCCGACCCGCGACGGTGTGCTTTCAAAGGGGAGGGGGCGCATTGGAGGTGTGGCCATCCTGATCTGCACTTGGTGATTGAGAGCAGCGTGCAGGAGTCTCACTCCATCAGCTCAGTCCGACGACTCTTCCAACCCTGCACACCGTCGCCCCCTGCCGCAGTCACTCCAGGCCTCCCTGGGGGCCCCGGCACCCGAGGAGGCGCCGCTGATCGACCTGCTGGGCGACGAGGATGAGCTCCCCCGGGACAGACCTCCAGAGGGCCCCGTCGCGGGCGCCGAGCTCGTGGCGCTGGCGGCCGAGGCGCTCGGCGGCGCCCCGGCACGCCGCGACCCCGACCACTGGCAGCGTGCACTGTCCGGCCTCGCGTTGTCGGTCGCTGACCTGGCGCCCAGGCTCCTGCTCCGCGTGATGCTCGTGCTGGCAGTCGCCGCGGGCGGGTCGGGCGCGGCAGTGACGGACGCCGCCGAGACGCTGCTGGGTGTCCTCGGCGACGCCTGGATCGCCGCCGACCTTTCGGCGGAGGAGGCCGAGGATGCGGGCCTGCTGGCCAGTCTCGAGGTGCGCCTGCTTGTTCCCGGATGTTTGTTTGTGGCTAGTTCCTTTGTGGGAGGTGAGTGCTTGGGTGATAGGAGGGCACTCCAGCCAGCCGTATGTCTTGGAGTGGGCTCCATATGCATCGCTATCGCACGGGTGCCTTATCTGCCCCACAGCCCTGCCTCGGTACCTGCAGCCCTCCCTCCCAGCTCCCTCACTCCCGAATTCTAGACCTTGCACTCTCCTCCGATCTGCCCTCCCTCGGAACCCGACCTCACTGAACAGGCCCCGCCGCTCACGCCCGAGGTCGCCGCCGGCTGGGCATACGTTCAGCTGGCCCTCCTGGCCGCGGGGTCCAGCCCCGTGCCCCAGGAACCAATGGATGTAATGGAAACCGCCGCCGCGCTGGCCGCGCGCGCGACGGGGTTGGGCAAGCTGGCCCTGCTGGCGCGGCTGGCGGGGAGGGCCCCGACCGCGAGCCTGCTTGGCCTCCTGGGCCCTGCGGCCTTGCAGGCCGCGCGCCTGCCCGGCGCCGCGCTGCCGCTGCTCCCCGCCCGCGGCAGCGGCCAAGAAGTCTCGCCGGACCTCCTGCCCTGCATCGCGGCGCTGCTGGCGGGGGTGGCGACTGACGGCGCAGGGCACCGCGCCGTGGACCCCGGCGCGGTCGGCACGCTGGGCACGCTGGCACAGGCCGCATTCTACGCAGGGCTGCTGGACCCGGCGGGAGGGTCTGCTCAGAGCCAGGGTGAAGCGCTCAGCCCGGCAAAAGGCCATCTTGAAAGCCTGGGCGCCGCGCGCCGAGCCGCGCTGGCGGAGCGCCTGCTGCGCGTCGGCGGCTGGCCCGCCGCGCTGGCCGCCTGGGTGGAAAGCGGGCGTGCTGATGCGGCGGGTGGCGATGCGCTCGAGCCCAGGGCGCTGGAGGCCGATTTCCCAGGCGCTGATGCGGTTGGCCCCAACGCACCTCTCAACATCGACCACGTCTCCTTGCTGCGCCGCGCGGCGCTGGACGCCGGGCTTCGTCCGGCGGGCCTTGCGCTCTGGGCGCAGCTCGCGGTGCGCCTGGCGACCGAGGGCAGCAATGTGGGCGAGGCGTCCCCCCAGGAGTGCCTCAGGCAGCTGGCCCTGCTCAGCCAGGAGTACCACGAGACCTGCCCCGCCGTGCCGCCCTTCCTGTCGCGGCTGGCGCGCGCGCTGGAGGGCGCGGGTGCTGAAGGGCAGAGGGGAGCGCCGCGTGCTCCTGACGCCCAGGCCGCCATCAGCCAGCTCGCTCCCGACGCAGCTCTGCTGGCCCAGCTCGCCGAGGTGGATGCGGGCTGGCAGCAGGCGCTGGCGCTTGCCCGTCGGCCCTACGATGAGCCAAACCCCGGACCCGGCGTCGCGACTTCCACCAACGGAGACGACGAGAATGACGTCGTCGCTCTCCCGACGACAGCCTGGGCGCCCGGCGCAGGGGCCCTGCGGGACCTGGATGCGGCCATGGCGGGCCAGGCAGCGCGCCTGGAGGAGGGCGGGGAGCTGCTGGAGTACTGGGCGCGGCGCGGCGGGAAGCGTAGCATGCACGCCCCTGCTGGTGCCTCTTCGCGGGAGGGCGATGTGCCGGAGGTCGTGTCGCAGGTAGGAGTCCACGTGGGATGCAGCCGAAGGAGGGGCCTGAGGGCTCGTGTGACTGGATGAGGGGTTTCATCTGCATGCTTGAGCGGAGGCCGGTGAAGGCGGCGGGGTATCAGCGTAGATGCGTTAACACATTGCTGGCAGCAGGATTTACCCGCCGCCCCCGCCTGATACGACCATGCCAGCACCCCTGTCTCCCGACAAAGGCTTCAGATCCCATCTCTGCGATCGGCATGTCCATGTCCCCACCCACACGTCACTTCCCCTGCCCAGGCCCAGGCCCTGCTGTGGGAGGTCACCCAGCGCACAGAGGACGAGCTGAACTCGCTGGCAACCCAGCTTCGCACGGCAGTGGCCTCCCGCTACCGCCCCCTCACCCTGGACAGGGTGGCGGGGGCCGGCGGCGACCACGCGCCACGCCCCGCCCCCTCCCAGCCGCCGCCGGCGTTCGAGGAGTCCAAGCGATTCCAGGAGCACTACGACGGGCTGCGGCGCAGCGCCCTGCAGACGTTGTTGCACGTGCTCCGGGGTGGGTGTGCGGGCGAGCATCCCATGAAGATGGGGAGGTGTAGACCCTGGGCAGCAGCACTCGTGCAGATTCGGGGACGGGAACCTTGCACCTCGTGTCATGCTCCAGAGTGCCATTGGTGTGCCCCGATGCGAGCAGGCTCCGTGCTGCTAAGCAAGCTCCAACCTCTCACGCCCTTCCGTCCCTACCACCCCTTGCCCCTCCCCACACACAACACAGACAAGTCGATGGTGGAGGCGGCGCAGGGCATCTTCCTGCTGGAGCGCGCGCTGCTGCACGGCGCCGCGCCGCGCCAGCCGGAGGCCGCCGGCTCTTCGCTGTCCTCCCAGCTTGCGGCTGTGCTGGCGACGGCAGCGCTGGACGGGTCCACCCCCCCGCCCGCCGCGCCGCTCTTCGCCCGCCTACTGGACCGCGCGCTGGCCGACGGCCGCGCCTACTTCTCCCTGGACCAGAAGGCGGCGCTCGTCGCACGCGTCGCGGTGCGGACCCGAGACCCCGGCGGGGCGGGGTCCTTCGGACCCCCCCCCAACGCGCTGCTGCGGGCGCTGCTGGACCCGGGGCCCTCGCTGGCGGCGGGCAGGCTGCGCGACTTTGGCGTCATGCTGGACGCCGTGCTGTCCCTGCCGGCCTCCGCCCCGGAGCGCGTCGCCCTCCTCCGCGAGTTCGACCTGGGTCAGTATGCCCTGGCCTGCCTGCAGGCTGGGGAGGGCGGCGGGCACGCGTCCCAGGTGCGGCAAAGGGGCTGCGGCTGGGTGGCCGGAGAGGAGTTGCTGGGAGGAGGAAAGTGTGCCATGGCCCCTGACAGTGTTGCATGGGCCGCCGGCAAACCCCTCGTGCCTGGGATCTGCAGGGGACCCCCTGCACGCCACGGCCGACTAAAACCCAAAACAAGGGCACATCGCAGCTCCCCTCGGCCACCGATGTGCTCTGTGCATGGCCCCATGAACACCAACTCCCCACCCCCCTGGTATACCCAGGCTGGTCCAGACCTGACGGCCCTGCTTTCCCTGGCGCTGCGCCTGCTGCGCGACGGTGCCGCCGCCAGCGTCGACGCCGGCTGCGCGGTGCTGGAGGCCGTGCTGTCCATGCGCCCCGGCGCCGCCTTCGCCGCGGCGCTGGCCCTGGCCCTGCGCGGCTGCCGGGGCGCCGCGCGCGCGCGCGCGCTGGGCTTGCTGGCCGCGCTGCCGGAGGGCCTGCTGACGAGGCGCGTGCTTGGGGAGGGGCTGCGCCTGCTGGGCGAGGCAGCGCGCGAGGAGGGCCTGGCGCCCGCCGAGTTGCCCCAGGGTCTAGTCCGCCTGCTGGTCCACGCGCCGGCGGCGCTGGACGCCGCATGGCGCAGCATTGGGGGGGAACACCCGGACACCGACGCGCCCGAGGATGAGCTCGACTCCACGCGCGGGCAGGACGCGGACTGCGTGACCGCCCGGCTGGGCGCCGGCGACGCCGCGGGCTGGGCCCGCGCGGAGGAGGGATCCGCGGACGCGGGCACGCCACGGGCGGCAGGCGGCAGTGGCGCGGGCGGCGACCGCGCGGCCCCGGCCCCGCAAGCAGCCCTCCTCCTGTTGATGCCTGTGGAGCCCTGCACCGTCGGCCAGCTGGCGCGGGCGCATGCGGCTGCCGTTTCCGGGCTCATCGCTGCGTCAGTCACCGGCGTCGCCGGTCCCGCCGCCGAGCTGGAGGCCCTGGCGGCCCTGCTCCTAGATCCGATCGCCGCCAGCCCAGCCCCGCCCCGCGCCCTGGAGTGGGCCTGGGGCTTGTACCGCTCCGACCTGCGCGCCGCGCTGGAGGCGTGCCGCGCGATAGACCCTGGCGCGGCATATACGCTGCTCGCGCGCTGGCGGGCCCTGCCCTGGCACACCGCCGACTTCCAACTGCGACCGGGGTCGGACTGCGCCGAGACTTGTCTGCGCGCGCTGGGCGCGCATCTGCTGTCGCCAGACGGCGGCGCGGCGGAGGCCCTGGTCGCGGGGCTCGACTTCCAGCCACTGCTGGAACGCGCGGGCACCTGCCCCGGCCAGGCGGCCGAGCTGGCGCTGCTGGCGTTGCGCACCAGCCTCCTGCTGCCGGACGGCGACCTGCCCGTTTGGGTCGTGGAGCTGCTGATGCCGGAGGAGGGGCCCGGTGACGAAAATGTTGTGCCAGGGTGTGCAGCATCTTCACCATCGTGTGCGCTGCAGCGCCTGCTCCAGCGCGCGGACTGGGGATTGGTATCTGCTGCGGCACGAGCCTCCTCCGCCGTGCCCTGGCTGGCCCTGCCCATGGCCCTGGCGCCCTCGGGCGTGCACGGGGATGCGGCGGCGGTGGCCTCCCGGGTCGTCCGCGCGGCCGGCGTGTTGGGCGCGGCCGCGGCCGCGGCCGGGCACCTAGCAGCCGCCGGCGCGGCAGCGGCCATGCTGGCGCCGCTGTTTGGGTTCTCCCTCGCACAGGGGCGACTCTGGGCGGCGAGCGCAGACGGCCCTGCGGCGCAGGCCAGCAAGGGCGCCTCGCCGCGGGTGGACCTGCCGCCCGACATCCCACTGGAGCTGCTGGAAGGCACGGAGGAGGGCAGGGCCCTGGCAGAGCAGCAAGGAAGGGTAGCGGGGGGTTTGGCTGGTGGCACAAGCCCAGCTCACAATTCTCCAAACCCCGCCTTGGTGCCTCACGATGGCCCAGGCGAGGGCATCGTGGTCGAGGTGACGGCCACCTGGCGCCTGGACTGCGCCAGCCTGGCCGGCCCGATCCTCCAAGCCCTGCTCCACGCCGCAAGCCCCGTGATGAATACTGCTCCGCTGCCCCGCTCCGGCTCCGCGCGGGATTCCACAGTAGGCGAGACTCCTGCTCACGAGGCCCGCTCTGGCCGGGGTCCTGGACCGCCAGGTCCCCCCTCCTGGAGTCAGCAGGCGGAGGCGGAGCTGGGGAGATCACTGGAAGACAATGCCAAGCCCGGGGCCAACCTGGTCTCCGACCTGCTCTCTGCCCTGGCCGAGTCGCCGGCCACGGTGCTGACGCAGGAGGCGCTGGCATGCGGCACCCGGGGCATGCTGCCCTGGGACGAGGCATCTGCGCTCTTCATCGCTGCGAACGATGTGAACGTCGAGGCTGACAACGAGACGGCGTGTGCGCTCACAGACGCGCTCTGCGCTGCGACAGCGGTGAGCGCGGGAGTTTCCACTCTCAGGTTGGGGGTCCGCCCCGGAGGATGCTCCTATCAGAAGGGGCTCGCGTGTATCGACTGGGCCCTGGTGTGACCCCGGCCACTTCATGCTTAACGGCATGTCAGGGGGGCAGCACTGAAAGCATTCACGCTTTCTTCCCACACACACCCAGGCATATGCCGTGCCTCGAGCCCCGGAGCTGGCAAGAGTGCTCCTGCGGGGATCCCTGCTCGCCAGCCACCTGCACCGCACCGCGGCCGTGCCCCGGCTGTGGGAAGCTTTGCTGGAGCTCATGGTGGCTGGCGAGGTGAGCTCCGCGTCGATGCCAGTGCAACAGCAGGAGGCATCCGTCGCTGGCGCGCCTGCTGCGCCGGGACGCCTCGACCCTGCTGTGGATGCTCTCCAGGACACCACCCATCACCTCGTCCTCAGCCTCTTGCACGTAAGGGCTGGCAATTGTTGGCTGAGAGGAGCCTGTGTGTGGGTGTGTTGAACAGATCATTTGCATTCAAATCGAGGATGCAGGGGCATGCCCATGGCATGAGTACCTTTTGTGATGAGAATGGCAAGGTGCTTGATCCATGCTCCACTTGACAAGATCAGCTCCTCCTCTCACAGGCGTGCGCGGAGGCGGGCCGACCCCTGGCCGTGGCGTTCCTGGTGGAGCAGCTGCGGCGAGCCACCCTGGCCGTCGACAAGTGGCCCTGGCAGGAACTCGTGGCCGAGGTGCGGTCGCAAGTGTACTTACGGAGGAGGAAATCATGGACGCACAACGACCTGGGGTTTTCCGCCTCCGGCTCCCAAGCCCTCTCCCGGCCCACTGCATGCAGGTGACCCGTGCCGTTGTGCAGCTGGATCCGGGGTCAAGCCCCCGCGGTCCCCTTCAAGTCGTGCCTGCATGGCTGGCCCTCCTGTCCTGGGTCGGGGACTCCCGCTGGCGCCGCCTCCCCGCCGGTGTGTCATCGGTGTGGAACCCAGGGCTTCACGCCTGCGAAACTGCACTTTGGATGGTTCAATCAGACTTGCTACTGGCCAGACATTCGAGCGGCTGCGATGAGACAGCCTTGAGTGACTGGGCACCGCATGCAGCCGACGCTTGAGGTGTCCCTCGCGCACTTCGCACCGGCGCTGGGTTCGAGACCCCAGTCCATGAGCCGAGACGCATCACATCCACCAGCTGAACCTCCTGTCACGCCGCCATCCACACCTGCAGGGCCTCACACAGCTGCGGTCCAGGAGTGGACAGAGGCGCTGAGTCTGAGGGTCCTGGCGCTGCAGATATCGGATCTGGAGCCTGGCGCGGCCGGCTCCTTGCAGCGACCAGGTGGGAAGGGTGATGGTGATGACCAACCGCTTTCGTGAGTGCTGGAGAGGCAGGCGCAGAGCAGCGGCTTTGGCGGGGGGAGGAGTCCAGCGTTGCTGTCAGCAGGATGCACTTGGCCCCACTCCAGCTTGCTGCCTGCTGGTCCCTCCCATCCGCGACCCAACCCCTCCCGATCCCTCACCCACATGTCACAGCCTCGCCCTCGATGCTCGACGTCGCGCTGCGGCGATTGAAGGGCTTCCAGACGCAGATCCAACTGCAGGGCCTGGGCAGGAGGGATGCCGGGGCTGCGGCGAGAAAGGAGGGTGGGGGCCTGCTGGACCGCGTCAAGGACATTCTGCGCCCCAGCGAGGGGCGGGACGGGGGTGAGTGGGATTGTGCGGGTGACGCTGTGCGAGTTGGTGCCTGCCCGGCCAGCAGATCCAAGATCCCAGTCCTCAGATCAGCCGCTGCCCTCCCCCGCTTTCCTTCATCCCGTGGCACCCTCGCCCCACACTCTCCAGACCACAAGGGCATGGGGACGCGCTTGCCGCAGACATACCTGCCCACGGCAGACCCCGATGACCCCGCCCCGCCCTCTCCCGAGCCGGGTCCTGCCCCCGCGGCGCCAAACAAGTTGCCCAAGGTCTGGGCCAAGGGCCTCTCGGCGGTGCGCAGCAAGATCCTGCCCTCCTCCAGGGGGGACTCCCCCGCCAAGGGCCAGCCGCCAGGCCGGGGGGGAGGACCGAGTGTCGATCAGGGTCCTCACAACGCGTTGTCGGGCCATCCACGGAGCGCCAGCGCCCTCGAGCAGGGCGACTGGGTCCGGCTGGGCCTCGCGGCCTTTGCGATCGCGGCCTACGTTCGCAGCGTGCTGTGCCCGTCCCTGGTCACCCCCCCGCGAGTCGGGCCCGCAGGTGACGGGTGTGGGCTGTACTTCAGGACCCCATGCCACCCGATGGAACTGCATTTGGGACGGCGTGCCCTTCCCATCTCAAAGGGCCCCGCACCCGTGTGCAAGGAGCTCCCGCCCTTCACCCCCCAACCCCTTCCCCTCATTTACCTGCAGACATGAGCCCGGCTACGCCGCTGGGGCAGGCCCAGCACTCCCATGCGCGAAGCATCAGCATGGGGAGCTGGAGGTGGGACGAGCACCTTCTCCGCGAGCTAGACACCGTGCTGGAGGCCAGGGGGGAGCTGGACGTGCTGGAGCAGCTGCGGGGGTGCCCCGCCCTGGTCCAGCATGGCGAGGAGTTTCACGCCTTCTTCGCGCTGGTCCCGGAGCTGCTGTCAGCCAGCACCGGCGTGCCCGCCTTTCAGTTGCGCCTGCAGCAGCTCCTCCTGCCCGGCTCCGAGGTCCTGCACCTCCTGCAGACCTGCTGAGGGGTGTATGCATACTTGCTAGCCCCTGACAATCGCGAGCCTGGTGTGAGAAGGCACCCCCTCCTGTTCAGATACACAACCACGTGGGGGTCCTGTCTGACCTGTCGGAAAATGGTGGGACTGATCCACTCCAAGGGTCCCGTCGCACCAGACAAGCTCCGTTGTAAGCACCGATCGTGTTGCGTACACCACCAAATATACCTTTGGAATCGACAGGAGGCTGTCGTGAACATCGGCCTGGAGGCGGGCACCTACCCCTGCATGCTGCAGGCCTGTCGCCCCGTGCTGCGAGCACTCACTGCCCCCCGGCCACCCCTGTCTCTACGCCACATGGGAAAGTACTCGGTGTACGCCGTGGCCTCGGGCCGGAACCCCGGCCTGTACAGCTCCTGGGGCGAGACGGAGAGCCAGGTCCGCCAGTATTCCGGGAGCCAGTACAAGGGCTTCCACTCCGTGGAAGCTGCGCAGGCGTACATGGAGTCTCGTGGCGCCGCGCCCTCTGCACCAGAGCCTGCCAGCAGCAGTGGATACGGGGCCAGCTACAGTCTTGGGGGCTCAAGCTCGTATGCCAGGAGCGGGAGCCGCTCCTCCAGCTCTTCCCAGGCGAGGTCGCCCCATGAGCCCTCATATGGGCGTGACAGCTACCAGCCGGGGCGCTCCTTCAGCTCGGCGCCCGCGTATGACCACCAAGCCGGGGCCACCCCCTCCCACTCCTGGACGGAAGAGGACGACGACGACTCCTACCTACCGCCTCACTCCAGCTACTCGGCTGCGCCCGTCGCTCGGGCCCAGCCACAGCCCCCTCCTCCAAAGTCCATACGCCTGGTGAGACCGGGGCGTATATCAGGCCCACTTCATGATCCCAGATTATGGGGATATTTGCCATTGGATGGTGCGTCGGTCTCTTTGGAATGTGCTGTGCACCCCCAATGGACTGGGATTGACCCGGAAAATGTCCACGATAGACCACCCCCCTTCCATGTCTCCCCCCTCGGCCCCTGCCCCCCTCAACTGCTAGGAGTTTGACGGCGCGTCCAAGAACAACCCGGGCCCGGCGGGTCTGGGCGCCGTGCTGTACGACGCCGACAGCGGGCTTGAGGTGAAGCGCGTGTGCCACTACATGGGCCACCGCACCAACAACCAGGCGGAGTATGGGGGCCTGATCGCTGGGCTGCAGGCGGCAAAGGAACTGGGCTGCCGCGACATCCACATCTCCGGCGACTCCCTGCTGGTCATCAACCAGCTGAAGGGGGACTGGCGCGTGCAGCACGAGGGTCTGAAGCCCTACCACGCCGTCGCCACCTCGCTGCTGGGCTCCTTTGACAAGGTGGAGGCGCGCCAGGTGCCTAGGTGCGTGACCGCGGGCTGGGGCTGAGCAACAGGATCTGGTAAAGGTGGGGGGGTTGTGGCATTGCTTGTTGGAATGTCAGGGACGACGTGGCGCAAATTGCACGAGATGGTATCTTCCCATGCCCGTGTCCAAGCCCGGCAGTGGATATTGATTGAATGACACGCTGTCCTCCCCTGAGCGCCCCTCTTGGCAACTACCTACCCCTCTCCCTTCATCCCCCCCCCGCAGGAGCATGAATGCGGTGGCGGATGCGCTGTCCAACCAGGCCATCTCGGAGCACCGGTCCGGCACTACCTCGCAGGTCTGGCAGCTGGAGAACCCCTCCACTCAGCAGTGATGCTGCACTCCCGCAATGCTGATAAAGTGCTGGCCCTGCACGGCAGCCCTGCAATTCTCGACCACCCCCGCCCCGCCCCATTTTGGCGCGAGCATTTCCCCCTGCCTGTAACTGACGATATCTATCGCTGTGCCAGGGCAAGGGAGTCGTGGCAGAAGGGTTCTGGGCGTCGTTGTTTTGGCAGAATGCGGGTGCCCTAAGCCCCTGTCTGTTCCACCAGTCTCGTTGCCCACTCTATGCAATAACCCTTGCCCGATGTTGGTAACACTGTGCCCCATCCGCCCCTTGCTCTGGCCTTGACGACCCTGCTCCTTCCTACCCTTCCCCCCTCTCTCTATGAAACTCCCGCCAAGTCTTGAGGTTCTGCTGGTCGCAAAAGGGCAAAGCACGACGTGCGTGCGGGTCTGTAAAAGGAGGCATCCTGGGGAGGGGTTGGGCGTGGGCCACGTGTCAGACCGCGCCAGCTCAGTCTCGTGGGGGCGAGGCGTTGGCGTCCGCCCCGCTGATGAAACCCCACAGCCCTGAGGCCTTGCGCGGCTCCGCAGCCGTCGCCTGCAGCCTGCACGGTCGATTCGGGAGGGGAGAGAGGGATTGCACAGGGGCCCCAGGCAGTCGGCCCTGGCCCAGCCATGCCCTGACGGCCATCAGACTTCCCATCGCACTGCCTCAAAATCTTCAGAGGCCGTGCCGGGTACGTACTCCCCTTCCCTCCACACCCCTCCCAACCGTACCTGTAGGAGTCCAGCTCCCGCTCAAGCTCGGCCATGCGGGACAGGGAGGCCCTGAGCTCCGCGACCTCCACCTGCGATGCATGGATGGTCTGGCTCGGCGCATGTCGGGGCCAGACCGGTGCAGCGATGGGGAGGAGATGACTCCGCCCGTGGCGGCCGTGAGGGCGATGCCTGCTTCGCTTCAGGCCCGTCTGCCCCAAATCACTGCCTCACCTCCAGCCTGACGACCTTGCTCTGCTCGGCCTCCAGGTGCGCATCCCGTTCGCGCGCAGCCTGCGGGGCGGAGCACGACGGCATCCGTCGACGCGCGCCGGGCCCGACGGGAGGCATGCCTTCTCTGTGCAGCAGGTGCGATGCTCATCCCCTCCCCCCCCCCGGGACTGCCCCCCCCATTCCGCCACCAGCCGCGCCGCACCTGCT